AGGTTCACCATAAAGTTTATTTCTGACCTCGATGTGGCAGGTCAACCAGTCTCAAAGCGCGGCAGTCTTGAGTAAGCTACTCCAAAAGAGCTTCCATTCGGTTTCCTCGTCAGCGGAATCTGATCATCGGATTCAAACTGCCATGCCATATTGTTTGCAAGTGTCACCCTCCTATCCGCAGAGGATAATATTTCCCATTTGACTCAGGTTGCTCCGTCAGCCAAGTTTCCTTATGGTGTACAGGGAGGGCGTCTGCAACAGGGTGGAAATCGGCTGACAGGTCTGCACCTCTGTTAACGCGAACATTCGTTACGGAGCGTTTTAAGTAACATTGTCGCATCAAATCGATCATTAACTTCTGTGCAGAAGGTTCCAGTTATACCAGGCATGCCGAGTATTCAATTCAACACCTTGAACAATCGGCAACCGATTGTTCAAGGTGTTCACATCCGACGACCCGTCGTTTGCAAAAAACCCCAACAGCTGCTTGCCGTTATTTTTCAGGTCGCTGGAGCCTTTCTTTCCAATTACGCTTTTGCACTTTTCATTGTCTGCTCCCACATGAACATTGAAACCAGCCATCAGAATGATGGATTTTGTTGTAGGACAGTTTGCTCAAGGCGCTTCCTGCTTCCTCCAGGAAGAGCTCATCTTCTTCCTCCAAATTTGGCGCATTGACCTGTAGCAAGATAAAGGCTTTAGCTTGTTGTGGCTTCAGTCGGTGAGTTGCCACTCTTCCACTCGTTTGGGTTCTACCTGAGCACCAATACTGTGGTCTGTGTACATGTTGTGAAGTAAATACCTAAGTTGAATTGCCTCCTCTCGCAGAGGTTCAAAACTACAGAGCCCTGGCGCTTCGATGACGAGAGTGCAATTCTGTCGAGTTGGTGACTTGCGGCCTCATCAACTAGCTGCTGCTCTTCTCCTCTGAATATACTAATTTCCAGGGCTACCACTGCCTGTATCGTTTTCGTGAGCCCTTATCTGAGTGCTATAATGGCACCGCGTTGTCTGCCTCCTCTGTACGAACGGGTAGGGGCCTTGTTGCTGACTGGTATCGTTGTTTTTTGTCGATCTAGGGCAGCTGTCGTCATGCTACTATGTCCTCAGCTGTCAGAAGGCGAGAAGCAGGTTCTATTCGCCAACTTCTCACAGCCTGCTTCAGTTCCCCTATAGCTTGCGCGGCCCTTGGTAACCAGGGAGATTACCGAATTGGTATAACGTTCTATAAAAACAATACATGAGAAGCAAGTGGCTAAGGATGTCGTCAGGATCTTTGACATTCTATCTGTCTCATTTTGGTGCCAGGCCGGTAACGACGATGTTACGGTGTTGGTGTAAACCAAAATGTTAATGATGTTTTTTGACAACTTCTAACTACTGTAGCTGCAGTGAGAAGGCTCAGTTTAGTCGGTCTCCTTGGTACAGAACTGCACGCATCTTTGAATGATCAGACTATTTACCTAGCTGTTTTCTTCAGTATCGTCATGAAGAAAAATATTACGGCTGTTTTTAGCTTCTTTACCAGTATTTAATTTTATTCAGTTCGATTACTTGATTAAAATGCTTAAAAACTGTATGAAGTACTTTTCTCAAAATAAATGATAAATAGCCGATCAAGTATTGGTCCAAAGTGCCTGATTGATTGTTTGCTTTGCCTTACTTAAGTTTAGCTAAAGGATTTTCAACTTGATGATGAGTTACGTAGGAAGTGGTCAATTGTTCGTGCTTTTTTGAGTACATGGCCGAACGGAAGCTTGAGTATATGGTCCCTAATGCATTTCTGGACGTCGCTGAGCCAGCCTCAGTCAGTCAGTTTGATGACTGTTTATCCTTTCAGATCGCGGGGATGACAGCGTTAGAGTGCAAACCAGCCTTTCCATTGCTAATACTCTTTTTGTGAACAGGTATTTTGTCTTATCCTCCAGCCCTTATACCAAAGTTTCTGTCATGGACAGACAGACACTTCAGTTCATGAGCAATAGAAGCAGGTACCGTTCCGTTGGACATATGTTCATGACTACATTCATAATTTGCGTTATGCTCATGCCTTCGTTTTGACCGTTTTTTGTGTTTTATGTTGTTTTCATATTGAAGAACCGCAGACAGATAGTCAGAGATGATTTGATTGATGAGAGGAGATGAGATGAACTTTCTCTTAGCAAAACGTCGTCAGTCGACCTCTTTAGGACTCATGGTACCCCTCAGCAGCTACCGTAGCGACCGGGGATTATACTGTATTACGTTCTGACATGTCAACTGTTTGGTCACTGCTCTCAACTCAGGCCTGGATCGATTCGTCTGACGCGACAGAACCATCATTTCCAATGGTTCCGACCATTCCTTACTGACAACGACTGACCGCCAAGCCTGATCAAGAGACATCTGTACGAATCAGTGTCGTTGAAAGCAACGCAGCGATTTCTAGCCAATGAAACAGCGTCTGCGCCAGAGGCCAGGAATTCCGTAGCACAACGCGCGATGCTCAAAAGCGATGACGAAACAAAGTTTGCGCTTAGAATGGCTTTGAGCTGCAACGCAAACATGGCTCTGCGATGCATGTCGGTGTCATAGTGACTAATTAGTGCGGGTTTCTGAGTAAAAAATTAATGACCATAATTTTGGGATGGTTCAGCTGCCCTCTACCTGTCCCTACCAGTTTCGGTAGCGAATTTGGTCTCTAGTTTTTAGCCGCCTTTCGTGTGTATGCCTTATGTTCAAAAGGCTGCTGGTGACCGCCACCGCCGTTTTACGATGCCGGTTATGTTTCAAGCTCCACTTGATGCAGCAAATAG